TCATATCACATCCACATAAAATCCTATCATCAATGGGTCATAGCCAACAAAAGTTGAGTTATGGTTCATTGTGAACAATTGAATCTTGATCATCTTTAATGCATGTTTTCAATACTAATAGCCAACGAAAGCTGAGTATATTAGGATTTTTTAAACATAGTGGTTGGAGCCACGACAGTGGGAAGACCATACACTAGTGATTCATGTTCAAGACGGCTCTACACAAATCCCATGCAACTATCTTTTCATCATTGCTCCATATGATCGTCCTTTGCCTAACTCTTGTTTTAAATTGTTTACAACCGCACTCATATTTCCTTTGTTTTGCTTTCTTATTCTAGGACCAAAACCATCCAATATCACGAGCTAGCTACAAACCAATCTCACAAGGTGTTAAGCGAGAACACTTCCTCCTTGTGTTCGACCCCGACTACAACGCGGCTGTGCACTTGCAGCTCAACTAGTTGGATTTATGAATTGTGAAAATTTGAGGCAATCTAAACCCGCCATCACTTCTCCAGAAATTATGAATTGCTGTACAGTACACAACGCCTGGTTCTCCATGGCAGAATGGTATAGCTGAAAGGTGGAATCGTACTTATTTGGAAATGGTTATATCTATGATGAGTCATGCTAACTTACCTAAATCTTTGTGGATGGACGCATTACGTATTGCAGTATATATCTTGAACATGGTTCCTAGCAAAGCAGTTCCTAAGACTCCTTTTGAACTGTGGAAAGGCTGGAAACCTAGTCTGAAATACCTCCAAATTTGGGATGTCCAGGTGAAGCAAGAATATACAATCCACATGAAAAGAAATTAGACTCCAAAACAATTAGTGGTTTCTTTATTGGTTACCCTGAGAAGTCAAAAGGATTTAGGATTTACTGTCCAAACCATAGTACAAGAATTGTGGAAACCGGAAATGCCAGATTCCATGAGAATGGCGAGGTTAGTGGTAGTGATAAAGTTTAAAATGTGATCATTCAGGAAATTAGGATAAATATCCCTTTACTCTTAACTCCTAATGTTGGGAATTCTCTTGTTGTTGAACCACTTAACAATGAAGATAACCCAGTGAATGATCAACCACTCCATGATGAACTTGTAGTACAAGAGGAACCAGCATTAAGAAGATCAACTCGTGAGAGGAGATCTGCTATTTCTGATGACTACATGCCTTATCTCATAGAATCTGGGGGAGGGAGCATTAAAGACCCGATTTATTATTCACAAGCCATGATAGATGTTAGTTCTGATAAATGGATTGATGCCAATAATGATGAAATAGACTCAATGGTTAACAATGAAGTTTGGGACATTGTTCCATTGCCTGAAGGACACAAAGCAGTTGGGTGTAAGTGGATCTTTAAGACCAAACTCGACTGTAAAGGCATTGTTGAACGATATAAAGCCAAAATTGTAGCCAAAAGGTTTAATCAGAAAAAAAGGCATTAATTATTGTGAGACCTTTTCACTTGTGTCAAGAAAAGACTCTCTCAGAATTATCTTGGCATTAGTAGCTCAGTATGATCTGGAGTTACATCAAATGGATATGAAAACCGCTTTTCTTAATGAGGCTTCATAATCGAAGGTCAGGAAGACATAGTCTGCAAACTTAAGAAATCAATTTATGGACAGAAACAACCTTCGAGATAATGATATTAAAAGGTTTAATGAAACCTTATGAAATTTGGTTTCAGAAAGAAAACATTATATATCATTTTATGTATCTCAGGATCAGTGGGAGTATGTTCATATATAAGTTTTAATGAAACCCTTATGAAATTTGGTTTCAAAAAGAAAACATTGTAGATCATTGTATGTATCTCATGATCAGTGGGAGTATGTTCATATATAAGGTATTGTATGATGATGATTGGCTAGCAATGATTTTGATTTATGAATGAGATACTTAAAGGGGGACAAGAAATCATATGCTGACGTATAGGAGATCAACACATCAACAGACGGTTTGTTTTTCAGACTCAGATTTTGGTGGATGCCATGACATTAGGCATTGCACTCTTGGCTATGTGTATCTCCTTGACGGAGGTGCCATCTAATGGAAAAGCCAGAAAGTCGCAGTTGATTTACACATCCACTATCGAAGCTGAGTATGTAGCATGTGATAAGTCCTTAAGAGTTTACACAAGGAGAAAGAAGAAAACGAATACAGAAAAAGGGAATGTTCAAACCGACTTGCTCACAGAGAAAAGGAAGAAGTCGGATTGGGAAGCTCTTGAAGGAAAGGAAAGTCTTTGCTATTGCTTTATTACATATATATTAGTTTATGCTTTACCTAGTTATGCTGAATATTCTAGTTGTGATTTGACCTAGACGCTATGGGTTTGTCAACAAGATCGCTATGAGATCTTGAGAGTGCTTGAATGAGATCGCTATGAGATCTTGAGTGCTTTCTATCCATCTATCTAGTTCTTTCTATCTATCTATCTATTGTAATTGGTGTTATTCTAATAAAGAAGAGGATTTAGGGTTTGGGTTCTTATCAAATTGGTGCGGTGAGCGTGGTTCGAACAGATACGCCATTAGAGCTTAAGATTTGTAGCAATAATGACGGTTAAGGTGTGCGGTGTGCGAAGAACGGATTACACAACTTGGTGGCTCCTTGGGAAAATTGCATGGCGAAGTCGCCTCAATCAAGGCTGGCTGCGAGAGCATGTCGTCGCGACTTGGCGTTTTGGAGAAACAGATGACATCAATTGCTGAAACTCTTTCACGCATCGAAGCTATTTCTTTCTCAGATTGTGGTCAAGACAAAGGAATCTCTTTGTCATCACTTTCTCTACCTCAGGTACCTAGTGCTCTTCCTGTGACTGATGGAACTACTAGATGGATAGGTTATCGGAGAATATTTGGTGCTATTGAGAATCAAGAAAGTATGTTAAAAAACGTGGAGATGCCTGTGTTTGATGGTCGTTTGCCGTATGGTTGGATCTCTAGAGTAGAAAGATTTTTTCAATTAGGTCACTATGCAGAGAAAGAAAAGTTGGCATTGGTTGCTCTGCATCTAGAGGGATCAGTGTTGAATTGGTTTTACGGAGAGATGGAGAAAGCACCAATCTCTAACTGGTCACAATTTAGGAACAGATTTCTTGTTCGATTTGCACCGGTCATGAGTTGCTCTCCACCAGTAGTGCTGATGACAAAGGAATTAATTCCAGTGATTAGTCAAGAGGAAGAAACAAGAACAGAGACAAAACTGATGCAGAGAAAGGAATTAATGGATGGATTGCCATCACAATTTGGATATTTTTTGGATTATATGCACTCTAATTTTGTCAGTGATGATCTGCCTCAAGAAGTATACATGTTACCAGTGAAAAACGAGCTGGAATTGGCACTACAATCATCATGTATACCGACCAAACCTTGCCCATACAAATCATTCGAAAACCTGCTGCTGATGCTGTTACAAAGAGAGAAGCAACAAGGTATGCAGAAAAAAATTCCAAAGACATGGAAATTTAAGTATAAAGGACGTACAAGGCAAAGAGACAAGACAGCTACTACACAACAAGTTGGGTACAACTTGGAACGTGAAAAGAAGGATTCAAAGATTCAAAGCATTCTGGGACAGTGGAGAACAAAAGGAAGTCACATTCCTAGTTTTCTGCAGTTTATTATGATGAGATCTTATTGTTCTATTGGTGGGAAAGACACAAAACTGCTAATTATAAGACTACTTCAACTCTCTTTCTTGCATCAACATGGGGCAGTGATTCTTTGTATGTTTCCAGGACTAGTTGATTGGGTTAGTCTGATTCAAGGAGAAGCTTTAACTTGACCAGAGGATCACTTTGTGATTCTAGCTAAAGCTGATCAGATTTTCCAAGTTGGAGCATTATCATTGCCCCTTGAGGACAAGCTGGGTCTTCGAAAGGGGGGTATTGATATGTCCTTAAGAGTTTACACAAGGAAAAAGAAGAAAAGAAATACAGATAAAGGGAATGTTCAAACCGTCTTGCTAACAGAGAAAAGGAAGAAGTCAGATTGGGAAGCTCTTGAAGAAAAGGAAAGTCTTTGCTATTGCTTTATTATATGTAGATTAGTTTATGCTTTACCTAGTTATGCTGAATATTCTAGTTGTGATTTGACCTAGACGCTATGAGTCTGTCAACAAGATTGCTATGAGATCTTGAGAGTGCTTAAATGAGATCGCTATGAGATCTTGAGTGCTTTCTATCTATCTATCTATCTAGTGTTTTCTATCTATCTATCTATCTATTGTAATTGGTGTTATTCTAATAAAGAAGAGGATTTAGGGTTTGGGTTCTTATCAGCATTTTATGAGGCTTCTACTTCAAGGAACTTGGTTGAAGAATTTTGTGTCTGAGTTTAGGGGTGCAAAGCCTTTAACTCTTTATTGTGACAATCAAGTTGCCATCTTCTTTTCCAAGTATAATAGGATATCCAAAGGTGCCAAACACAGGACCTTAAATATCACTAAAGCAAGATGTCAAGAGAGGAAAGTTTGTCATTGAACACATAGGCACTGATCTTATGGTTGCAGACATATTTACGAAAGCTTTGCCTTCAAAGACCTTATAAAGCATGCTGAAAGTATGGGTCTTGAAGACAGCTCTAAATTATGTTGTCTGCTTTTATGTTTAGCCTATATTTGACATTTTTTGAGATCTTTTATGACTCTTACATCTTTTATTTATTCTGTTTCCATTGTGCACACATTATTGTTTTGGATTTATGATAACAGAATTCGTCTTTCATTAAGACATAAAGGGACCATTATGATAACTCCTACTTATGGTCTAGCTATGAAGGTAGTCAATGTAGTAGTACATGGAAGGGATCATGTTGCAGAATGATATGCGACCGCCATGACTCCCATTGATTACTAGATTAGTCAAGACACTTATGATGACCAAAGAAAAGGGTTTAGCATATTATGCCGGCCTTATGATTCCAATAAGAAAACATAAATGGATCTTTATAACGACCAAGTGGGAGACTGTAAGATAATTTATCTTCCTATTATATGGTCTTATATTAATCCGTTTTCCTATTGGGCTATTGCTATTTCATAACATATTTGGTATTTAATTAACTTAAATATAATGGAGTATTTCCTTTTTATCTCTACTTTGATGGACGGTTGAGATTAACTTTAAGGAAACCCTAAAGAGGAATTAGGTCCTCTCTCCACCTATAAATATATGCCTTTAGTCCATTGTAAAGGCATCCTAAAGAGACACATAAAGTTCATAGGCAAGGGGAGAGAAACCTAATCACCTATCTCAGATTCAATACCTCCATCTCTTCTCTACAATGGCTGGAGGTAAGTCATCTATAAACTCTTATGATTCTATTATGTGATTACTCTGGATGTTTGAAGGTCTTAGGGTTCATGTAAAAGTATGCTTACATAAGAAACTTATCTTGTAAGGGTGGGTGGTTCCCCTGTAATCTCCATTGTTCTCCAAAACCTCGAAATTCATGATATCTTGACATTCACCTTCCTTCAATTGGTTTTTGAATTTCTTAACCAATTTTGTTTTGACATAAGCTTAGATACTGTCTCCCTGTAAGAAAAAACAGAGTATAACTAACTTATATGTCTGAATCTTTAAAAACACTTGTTAATCTGATTTTAACAAATAGTGATTACTTTTCATCCACGAGTATTAAATCTGATTTATCTTGTGGATGAAAATCTCAACTTCGGGACATCAGAATCCCAGAGAGGAAAAGAGAATTTGAAGATAAATCGTAATGATTTGAACTTCGAAACGGAGAAATACAACAGAAACAAAAACAGATGAACTGGATATGATGAAAGATCGAGAAAGACGAAAAAATATGGGAATTGAGTGAAATTGATAACGGAAAATGAATTTAAGTTCATGGTTTCGAGGTCCATGATCAGAGAGTGGGGAGCTAGGAATGAAAAATTAGTGATTTCTTTTTCCTCTAAACCGTGGAAGACAAAATATAAAACGTGATTATATAATTATTCTTTTATATTATTTGTGTTTTTGGGCTTAATATAAATGATGGGCTTTACACATTGTCTAATCTCCAAATTAGTGATAACAATTTGCTCTAATTTGTAAAGGCTAGTGACGTGGACTTCGATTAGCGTTTGTTTTCTTTAAACTTGACACATGTCACTCTGCCATTGGACGAGTGACTTGTGCTTTAGTATATAAAGGATGCTTGAGTGAATATTGTGTTTTCTTTGTTTATTTTGTTTAGCTGCCTTACTATTTGTAACCATATTTCATTTTGATATGATTTAATTAAATATTATATAGCATAGAAAATTGATCAAAAGGATTTGAAATACTTAGTTAAAGGATTTACCAAACAGGATTTAATAAATTGATCATGATTCTCATTCGTTAAAGAAAATTGGGTAAACCTTATCAACTAACAAACATGTTTTTTTTTTATAACCAATGTATACAATTTTTTTTATTCTACAATATGGACATGTTAAAAAAACTTTCTTCTACAATAAGGACATCTTATTTTGTAGGATAATCGATTTGCATGACTATAAATCAAAAGTATTGATGTTTTCCGAGTTCCTAAGTTTGTCGAGAAATATAAGACAAATCGCCATGATGTTCTTGTGCAGCTTGTGTTTTGTGTTGTTCGCACTTTGCATGATGAGTTGCAAAAAAATGTTTGTGTTGGTATTTATATTTTTTATTTATTTTGTGTACACTAAATGCTATATGTGATTGTTTGTTATTACTTTAAATTTAAGTTTCCTCTTAATTTGAATAATGTATAATTGTAACAGAAAATCGTATGAATGTTATAATTGTAACCACACCCAACGGATTAAAGGGTCAAAATCATTAGTTTTGATTCGTAAGAAATGGATATGGTTAAGTTCTTTTTAATTGGCTCCTTCCTGATTATTGACAAAGAAAAGCAATCATGAATACACTTTTTCAACATGCAGTTTGAGTATTTGCTCAATATAAAAGCAGAAAGATCTTTACTACTTTGTTGCATCGGTTACGCCTCCATCGTCTAAGAATGGGGGAAAAAATAGATGACGTTTGGTCTTAAACTTAAATGTTTGATGAAACGAAGAAGAAATTTAACAGACGAGACTATACAATGTCTGAACTGCTTCTAACTGTGACTTCTCAAAATCAAACATGTTGACTATTTAGAAAAATTCTGGACAATAAACCAAGTGAACAAATCTCTCGAAAAAAATCCAAGCAACATTTAATTAAGCTACTTCAATTTTTTGGGTAAAGAGGGAAAAGCAAAACGTTGTTTAAAACCTTTTGAGTGTTCTTCTTGTGAACCAAGATTTGTCATTTTCGCTTTTCTTTAAGTCCACTCTAAAATAGGATTATACTTCAGTTACACTATACTGAAATGATTCAGCAATGGTTCAATACAAAAAATTTGCATATGTAACAGACCGACAAGAACATTTCATTTTTCAGAAAAAAAGATTTACTCACCGGGAGTGTGTTTTTTGCGAAAGCCCAAAAGGAGCACAGTCAAGAATAGTGTCGGCCTTTGTTTTCCTAAATCAAAATGTGTGAATAATTCAACAGATTATGTCATTCAAATTTCTATGATTCAATCTAAGAATCTCACATAAATGATCCAAAGCTTACCAGATCATTAGATCCTGCACCAAATTTAGCATGTCACTCATGTCCTAACAGCTTTCAGATCTTAGCGGACATGTGCTTGTTGTTGTCAGAATTGGATTTATGGTGTGTATAGTAAGCATCAAATATAACATGTACATATGAATATCACAACTTTGAACAAAAAGTATCCTCCAAAAGTTGTTCTCCGTCTTCAAAAATTCAAAAGAGAAGCCTCAACAATAGTGGTATATTGATCATTTGTTTTTCTACCTCCTGATCTATACCAATAAAGTAACCAGAGTCTCTATAAGATAATTGTTCTCCCTAAAGACTTCATCCACATAATCCCATAATAAATTCTTGATTGTTTCTCAAAAAGACCAATCACCCCAGAATTTTGAATGATTCAAATGTGATTCCCAAACTAAGAAAACCACATAAATATTTGGTTTTATGCTTCGTACCTGCAAACAGTTATGATCATAAGCTCTTATAAACGTAATTTTTCAATCATGTTTTCTTGCTTGTTTGCATCATGGCCGAGTAGATCTCTCGGTTAGGCCGGGGAGATCTATGGATGCTATGATGATTTGATTGTGTTGCAATATTGTTGGGATTTTATCTTATGGATCTTCACCTTTACTTGAACTTAATGCATGATTACTTTACCGTAAATCTAATCATCTGATCTTAGAGAGATAAAACCATGACAGTGCCGAATCTAAATCTCCAAACTAGTATTTGGTGAGCAATGGGTCATCGCCAACGAAAGCTGAGTTATGGACCATTGTGAACAATTGAATCTTGATCACCTTTAATGCATGTTTGCAATACTAATAGCCAACGAAAGCTGAGTATATTAGGTTGTTTGAAACATAATGGTTGGAGCCACGACAGTGGAAAGACTATACACTAGTGATTCATGTTCAAGACGGCTTTACACTTATCCCATGCAACTATATTTTCATCACTTGCTCCATATGATTTCCTTTCCCTAATTTTTGTTTTAAATTGTTTACAACCTTACTTACAGTTTGTCTTTGTATCTTTCCTATTTTAGGCTCCCATCTCACTCATATTGCGAACTAGCTCATTTTCAACCTCTAAAGGTGTTAAGAGAGAACAATTCCTCCTTGTTCTCGACCCCGACTACAACACGTCTGTGCACTTGCAGCTCATTTGGTTGGGTTAAAAATTGTGAAAACTTGGGGCAATCCCAAAGCACATCAAGCTTTTGGCACCGCTGCAGGGGAGTAGTAGCTATTCCTTCACACCTCTTGATTGATTTCAAGACTAGTTCATTTAATTTCTTTGCATCTTTGTTTTTGTTTTCCATAAAATCTTTAAAATTTATCTTAAATGTCTCTTTGTGTGTTTTTTAGGTGTATGACAAGAAGGTCCAATCCAAATAACTCAATAGAAGAAGATCTTGACATTGAGCAGCTGGAAAGAACACTTAGGCGACAAAGAAGAGAGAGTATGAATCAAGGCGGAGAAGGCGCACCAAATAGGCAGCAGCAGCCTTCTGACCAAGAAGAGAGGGCTGATAACCCTCATATACCACAAGAATCTGGAGCCGCGCCTCAACCCAATCCAAACGCTCCCGGTGCTGCCGAGCAGCCGCAGCCATCTCATAATCAACCACAACAACCTCCGGTGCTCCAAAATAATCAACACCATCATCATCATCAAGGTGACCATCAAGGGATGCCTCAAGCTCAACCTCAAGTGCCTTCAAGGAGAGCACAATTCGCTTAGCATCTAAGGCACCAAACTATGGGAGATTTTGATTCTTCCGATGCTTTCTTAATGGATCGGAATCCCATCCGACCACCTCTACCATCAAGGAAAGACTTTGAGATCAAGCTTCAGGTCATTGCCTTGGTGAAACAAAACCATTTCCATGGTTTGTCCAATGAACATCCTCTTGATCATGTCGACGCCTTTGAGGAGATATGCAGCACAACTGGCATCAATGGAGTGTATGTGGATTACTTCAAGTGCAAGTTGTTCACTTTTTCTCTAAGTGACAAGGCACTTAGATGGGTCAAGTCTTTACCAACGCAGTCTATTACAACATGGAATGAATACAGGGGAGCTTTCTTAAAACAATTCTACACAAAGTAAAGATCGAACTCTATAAGGAGCAAGATTTCTGGTTTTAAGCAAGCAGTAATGGAGTCTTTCTATGAAGCATTGGAGATATTCAAGGAGTATACAAGGAGTTGCCCTAACCATGGCTTTTCAGAAGGTAACCTAATGTAGGAGATGTTTAAGAGATTTCCTTAATTTTCCTTTTTCTTTAATTACGTTTTTCCTTCTCAGTTTTGGATATTTTCTAGGGTTTTGTTTTCCTATGTAAACACTTATAAGTTGTAGCCATGAGGCATATCTTATTATTCTAATTAATCAAAGCAGAGAAATTTTCTTTAATCTGGTGGATTTCCAGAGTTTTCTCTTCAAGTTCATGCTTGTGAACTTGAATTCAATCTAGGTTTAGTGCTTGCTATTCCTAGGGTTTTCCGACTGCGTCAAGTGGTATCAGAGCAGGCTTTCTCCTGTCTCTTTTTCGAGCTTGAACAGCTATGGGAGATCAACCGTTGAGCCAAAGCAGATCTTGAGGGTATTTCGGAGGCTTTAACCACGAACCTCACTGCTTTGAGGAATCAGATGGTGGCGTTAACGACTCAATTAACAGCTTTTACCAATCAAGTTGTTAACGCAGGGCAAAGAGATAGGGGAAGAGAACCAATTAGGGTTCAACAGGGCAGAAACAATCGTGCCGCAGAGCCAGTTAGGGTTCAACATGGTGGAAACAATCGTGGTGTTAATGTTGAAATCTCTAGTTCTGATGATGAAGATCTTGAGGACGAAGAAGAATCTGATCAAGAGAATCGACAAAACAATCATGATTATAGAGTAAAGGCTGATATTCCATTGTTCTATGGAACTATGGGAGTGGAGGAGTTTCTGGATTGGCAGATTGATGTTGATAGATTCTTCGATGTGATGGGTGTTCCTGAGAGCAAACAAGTTAAGATGGTAGCAATCAGGCTGAAGAAAACTGCTGTGTATGGTGGGATAAACTTGTTATCCAAAGACAAAGGCAAAGAAAAGGACCAGTCAAGACTTGGCGTAGAATGAAGCAGTTGATGCTTGATCGGTTCTTACCAGAAGACTATGAGCAGATTCTCTACAAGATGTATCTCGAATGTGTTCAAGGTAAACGAACAGTGACAGAGTACACAGCTGAGTTTGTGCGTTTCTCTGAACGCAATGATCTAGGAGAGACAGATAATCAAAAGGTGGCTAGATACATCAGTGGTTTAAGAAGCTCTATACAAGAGAATTGGTTTGCAGACCGTATGGACTGTGCAAGAGGCTTCTAGTTTAGCTTTGAAGGCTGAGCTAATGGAGAAGTCAACTCGCAGTTTTTCTTCATTCAAGAGGTTTACACCTCAGAATAACTACGAGGCAGCAAACGAAAAGGAAAAGAATGTTGTAAGCAAAGATCCCAACCCTGGAAATAAAGGAGCTAGTAGTTCTACCACTACTCAGCAGAGTAAAGCACCAGCTCAAAGGCAGAATAATCCTTATGCTAAACCATCTCTTGATAAGTGTTATCGTTGCCAAGGACAAGGTCACAAATCAAATGTTTGTCCAAGCAGAAGAACTGTTGCTTTGCTAGGAGAAGAAGAAGACAAGAACAAGAGTTTAATGAGGATGATGAATATGAAGGGGTTGAATTTGCTGAAGAGGAGTCACATGAGAAGATAAACATTGTGCTTCAGAGAATCTTATTGTCATCTAAGGACGAAGGACAACGCAAGAATTTGTTTAGAACACACTGCTCAATTCAAAACAAAGTGTGTAATGTGATTGTGGATAATGGAAGCACAGAGAATTTGGTTTCTCAAAAGCTGGTTGATTTTCTGAAGTTGCCAACAAAAGAACATGAGAACCCATATCCTCTTGGGTGGATAAAGAAGGGCTCACAAGTTCGAGTCACAATGACTTGCAAAGTTCCCATCTCCATTGGGAAACACTACAAGGAAGAGTAATTTGTGATGTTCTTGACATGGATGTTTGTCATGTTTTGTTTGGTCGACCTTGGCAATATGATAATGATATCACATATCGAGGACGAGATAATGTGATATTGTTCACTTGGGGAATACATAAAATTGCTATGGCTCCTGTTTTGGATTTTGATAAAAGCGCAGGAAAAAGAAGTCCAATTTCTTGGTAATGACACATAGTGAAAAGGAGCTAGACGAAGCTTTCAAAGAAACTAAATGTTTCTTCCCTGTGGTAGTTAAAGGGTTAATGAGTGTGGTGAATGAGGAAGCAACAACTCCAGAAGAAGTGTTAGAGATTCTAGAAGATTTCAAGGAGTTGACTGCAGATGAATTGCCGAAATGACCTGCCTCCTATGCGAGATATTCAACATCATATTGACTTGATTCCAGGTTCTAGCTTACCAAACCTTCCCACTATCGTATGAGTCCGAAGGAGAATGAGATTTTAAGGGAACAGATTGAGGATTTGCTGAAGAAAGGGTTTATTCGAGAGTATGAGCCCATGCGCAGTGCCAGTCCTTCTTGTTCCTAAGAAAGGTAACCAATGGCGAATGTGTGTTGATAGTAGAGCTATTAACAAGATAACCATCAAGTATCGATTTCCTATCCCTCGACTAGAAGATATGCTTGATGAGTTGGCGGGTTCTAAGATATTTTCAAAGATAGATCTTCGTAGTGGATATCATCAAATTCGAATCAGGCCTGGAGATGAATGGAAGACAGCTTTTAAGAGCAAAGATGGATTGTATGAATGGTTGGTGATGCCTTTTGGGTTGTCAAATGCTCCTAGTACTTTCATGAGATTGATGAACCAGATTCTTCGACCATTCGCTGGTTCTTTTGTGGTTGTTTACTTTGATGATATTTTAATTTACAGCAAGACCAAAGAAGAGCACTTGGATCATTTGAAGCAGGTTTTGCAAGTCTTACAAGAAAACCAGTTGTACGTTAATCTGAAGAAGTGTACATTCTGTACCAACAAGCTGGTATTTCTAGGATTTGTTGTTGGTGAAGAAGGGATTCAGGTTGATGAGGAGAAAGTGAGAGCTATTAGGGATTGGCCTGCCCCTAAATCAGTCACTGAGGTACGTAGCTTTCATGGTCTACTACCTTCTATAGGAGATTTGTTAGAGATTTTAGTACCATTACTGCTCCTATTACTGAGTGTTTGAAGAAAGGGAAATTCTTTTGGGGGTCTGAACAAGACAAGAGTTTTGCTTTAATTAAGGAGAAGCTATGTACTGCACCAGTCTTAGCATTGCCTGATTTTGATAAAGTGTTCCAAGTTGAATGTGATGCTAGTGGAGTTGGAATAGGTGCTGTCTTATCTCAAGAGAAAAGACCAGTAGCTTTCTTTAGTGAGAAGTTAAGTGAAGCTCGCCAAAGATGGAGTACTTATGATCAAGAGTTTTATGCAGTATTTAGAGCTCTAAGGCAGTGGGAGCATTACTTGATTCAGAGAGAGTTTATCTTGTTCACTGACCACCAAGCTCTGAAGTTCCTTCATAGTCAGAAAGTGATAAACAAGATGCATGCTCGATGGGTAAGCTTTCTGCAAAAGTTTCCATTCATTATTCAACATAAGTCTGGGACTCTCTGACACATGAGATTGTGGGTTTTGAGTTACTAAAGGAGTTGTATGAAAGTGATGCTGAATTCAAAGAAATGTGGGAAAAGTGCAATGGTAAACTGATGTACTTGCATTTTACATAGTTTTAGTATATCTTTTACATCGTTTTAGCATTCATTAGCATCATATCTTGTTCATTTTCCTTTCTTATGCATACATTGTAGTTTTAGGTTGCATTTGCATACATGTGCATGTTTGATCCTTAATTAGGTCTATTTGGAGCATTATGGAGCAATGGGGACGTGAGGAGATAGGAAGGACATTGTGCATGGACTCAGCTTAACCGTGCATGCTTGGAGTGAAGAAGGAAGTCGCCTTAGAAGCCAGCTCGACCACCTGCGCGACCAACTGGTCGAGTTCACCAACTGGACCGGCCAAGACTCAACTCGATCGAGCTGCTATTCTAGGAGTCAAAGTCAAACCTGAAAAATGTTGCTTCCCTTTGACTCCCCTTTGACCCTAAACCTAATCCATCTCCTATTTAAGGGCTTGTAGCCACGAAAAATAGACTCTCCTTTAGCTTAATCTTGTTTTGCTTTTGCTTTAATTTTTGTAATTTACTTTTTCCAAAAACATTAGCCTCTCTTTGTGTTCTTGAGCTCTTGCTCTTGAACCTTAGATCTATGCTCTATCTTTGTATTTCTGCACTTGGTTATTTCAAAAAAAGTTCTTTAGTTTCATCTCCTCTATCTTTCCATGTCTACTTTATTGCATTTGATTGAGTATTTTGCCATGATAAGTGAGTAGTTCTCTTTAAGGCTTAAGATGGGATTGTTAGAGGTTGTTTATGCTTAATCTCTCTTGCTTTATGTTCTTAATATAAAATCTCTCTCTTTTGGACAAAGCTTAAGGCTGCACAACCACTGACCATGGTGTGTATGAGTCTATAAAAAAAGTCCACTAAGAGCTCCAATATGCTTGCCTCTCGAAAAAGGGTGTATAGGTGTTGGATGGGTTAGTTTGAGCAATGATACTAATGCCTCCAAGGCTTGATCTAACTGGGTGACCTCCTGTTTCTGAGATCCTGCCTTGGTGATATCACTATATTTTACATGATTTTACTATATAACTATTTATGTTTTCAAACGGTTTTTGCAAGATTCTTTGCCTTTAGAGGTAGTTTTCTTGTATTTGTGGGATTTGAAGTCTTTGTAGGTGAAACCATCAAAAAGGATGCAAAAAGGAGTAAAAGAGCCCTAAACCAAGATCCATGCAAGTTTCCAAGTCAAGAACATCATTTTATCTCCAAGTGTTAGTTCTCGCTAGCGCGCAGAACGAAGCTTCGGAAGTTTGGCCGCGCGCGGAGGAGTTCCCGACGTCCAAAAGTTACGATCTTGATATGGAAAGATAGATACTTGAGTCATGCATCACGTCGAAGTGGAATGAAGCCATTTGGATCAACTATGAGGCCTAGACTTATTTTCTACCGAGACATGTCCGGTAAGCGAGCAAACGAAGCCCATGGAGGATTTGGAGTGTCTAATGGCCCGAGCAGCAGCGCCAAAGGCCTTGATCGAATAGAGAAGAGGCCTGGCTAATGTTTGGAGCTTTCCTTGGTACAATGTCGGCCCATACACGACGTGGAGAAGAAGGCTCGGCTCATGGAAACTTTCCTTTTCCGGCATGAAGAAAACCCTACTCGACTTCGCCCATATATACATGTTTTTAGCCGCTGAAGAAGAGATCGAGCGTGTGAGTTTGTGAGAAGAGAGTCCAGAGAAGAGAGCCGAAGGAGAGAAGCCCTAGGAGATCGTCCAAGAAGAAGGAGGCGCCGCTCAACTCTTGTTCTTTCTTTTTCATTGTTTCCATTTCTATAAACTTGATCTTAAGAGTTTTCAAGGGAGAATCCGACTTTGTTCATCAATAGAGAAGCTTTCTTCATCCCTTTATCTCTTTTAATACTTGCATAATGTTTACAATCATGCTTTGCTTGCTTGTTTGCATCATGGCCGAGTAGATCTCTTAGTTAGGCCGAGGAGATCTATGGTGGCCGTGATGATTTGATTGTGTTGCAACTTATTGGGATTTATCTTATGGATCTTCACCTTTACTTGAGCTTAATGCATGATTACTCTACCGTACATCTAGTAATCTGATCTTAGAGAAATAGAACCACGACAGTGCTGAATCTAGATCTCAAAACTAGTATTTGGTGAGCAATAGATCATAGCCAACGAAAGCTGAGTTATGGTTTATTGTGAACAATTGAATCTTGATCACCTTTAATGCATGTTTGCAATTCTAATAGCCAACGAAAGCTGAGTATATTAGGTTGTTTTAAACATAGTGGTTGGAGCCACGACAGTGGAAAAACCATACACTAGTGATTCATGTTCAAGACGGCTCTACACACATCCCATGCAACTATCTTTTCATCATTGCTCCATATGATTGTCCTTTGCCTAACTCTTGTTTTAAATTGTTTACAACCTCACTCACATTTCTCTTTGTTTTGTTTTCTTATTCTTAGGTCCAAAACCATCCAATATCACGAGCTAGCTACAACTCAATCTCACAAGGTGTTAAGCGAGAACACTTCCTCCTTGTGTTCGACCCCGACTACAACGCGGCTGTGCACTTGCAGCTCAACTAGTTGGGTTTATAAATTGTGAAAATTTGAGGCAATCTAAACCCGCATCACTTGGATGATAGCTCTCACCTTGGGAAAGGGTTAGCTAGGCTTGAGAAGCTCAATACCAAGAGATAGCTTGAGTACAAGATGTTTAAGAGCAAGGTTGATTTAGTATAGCCTCTCTCGAGCTGCAAAACCCTGTCTTTAGCCCTAATCCCCGTCTTAATAGTTTAAAGTTTGCACCTTTATCGCTTTACATTGCATTTCCTCTGTTTTTACGCTAACTCGACCCTCGACTTAATCAAGCTCAGTTACTCTGTTTCTACTCGATCGAGCTCTTGGTCGAGCTGCCTTGCATTTATTTGTTTCTTGCATTTTCATTTCATTTTAGGTTGTTAGTTGCTACATCCATCCTGTTAATCAATTGGCTTGACTTTCTTGTGTTTGCATATTCTCATAGAGCAGCAAATTACCCATTTGGATTGATAACCTCTTATACTACATGATTATGATGATAAAGAGGAATTGATTGATTGTGATTGCATCTGTTTACCATACCATCTCATCTACATTCCACTTCACTTGCGTCCATCTCATACTATACTTTCATCACCATCCACGTAACATCCTTTCATCAATTTGGCGCTGTTGCCATTTGGGTTTGTTATTGTTGCATTTGAGTTTTCAAATCACTTAGACGATCAAGCACTATCCCACCTTTTGTTACTTGTACTGCTGGGTTTTTGACTGTTTTGCAGGTGTATGCGAACTCGATCAAGCTCATCTACAGAGGCCTTGGTCGAATTAGACATCAACATAGACAGAAAACAGAGAAAGAAGAGCCAGAGGCAACAAGTTGAGTCAGAGGTGGTTGTTACTGATACAATGAATGATCCTGAGGGTAATGGAAACCCTTTGGGTAATGGAAATGGTCGAGCTAGGCAGACGAGACCGATTGGGCTTGGAGATGCACCAAACCGCCACCAACAAAGACAAGGGATTGTCCCTCCTCCTGTCCAGAGCCACAACTTCGAGATCAAGCTGGGTATGATCAATCTGGTGCAGAACAAGATGTTCCATGGGTTGTCTTGTGAAGACCCAATTGACCATCTTGATGAGTTTGATAGGTTGTGTGATCTGACCAAGATCAATGGTGTCTCTGAAGATGTCATCAAGCTGAAACTCTTCCCTATGTCTCTTGCTGACAAGGCTCACCAATGGGAGAAGAGCCTGCCCCATGGTACAACCACCACATGGGATGAGTGCAAGAAGGCGTTTCTTGCAAAGTTCTTTTCAACTGGGCGCACAGCCAAGCTAAGGAGTGAGATCTCAGGCTTCACTCAGAGGAACAATGAGTCTTTTCTCTCGACACTCTATAGAGGATGTTTGCCTAGATACAGAGAGATGCTAGACATAGCCAGGAATGAAAACTTTCTCAATCAGGATGTAGATGACGGCTGGCACCTTGTGGAGAACATTGTTAACTCAAAAGGGAGTTATGGAGAGGAGTATGACCGCACAAACCGGAGCTTGACCCACCACTCGAGTCAGATGACAAACTGAGAAAAGAAGTGAAAGCACTGAATGAGAAGTTGAATAAACTTATCTGAGCTCAATCCACAATGAAGAAGGTCAATTTTGTGACTGTTGAAGAGATAGTTCCTGTTCAAGAAGGGGAGGATACACAATTTGCTGAAGTTTGTTACATGACCAATGGACAAGGAGGCTACAACAAAGGGTATTACAACTACAATACCAATCCAGCCATGTCTTACAGGAACGCAGACGTAGCCAACCCTCAGGATCAGGTTTACCCACAACAACAGCAGGCTCAATGGAGTTAAGCTCCTCAACAAGGGTATAGTCAGAAAAACAATTACCAAGGACCTCAACGGACTTTCCCTGGACAGCTGATATCACCATATTTTACATGATTTTACTATATAATTACCTATGTTTTCAAACGGTTTTTGCAAGATTCTTTGCCTTTAGAGGTAGTTTTCTTGTATTTGTGGGATTTGAAGTCTTTGTAGGTGAAAAATCAAAAAGGATGCAAAAAGGAGTAAAAGAGCCCTAAATCAAGATCCATGCAAGTTTCCAAGTCAAGAAGATCATTTTATCTCCAAGTGTTAGTTCTCGCTTGCGCGCAGAACGAAGCTTCGGAAGTTTGGCCGCGCGCGGAGGAGTTCCCGACGTCCAAAAGTTACGATCTTGATATGGAAAGATAGATACTTGAGTCATGCATCACGTCGAAGTGGAATGAAGCCATTTGGATCAACTATGAGGCCTAGACTTATTTTCTACCGAGACATGTCCGGTAAGCGAGTAAACGAAGCCCATGGAGGATTTGGAGTGTCTAATGGCCCGAGCAGCAGCGCCAAAGGCCTTGATCGAATAGAGAAGAGGCCTGGCTAATGTTTGGAGCTTTCCTTGGTACAATGTCGGCCCATACACGACGTGGAGAAGAAGGCTTTGCTCACGGGAAACTTTCCTTTTCCGGCATGAAGAAAACCCTACGCGACTTCGCCCATATATACATGTTTTTAGCCGCTGAAGAAGAGAGTCGAGTCCGAAAATTATCAAAGAGTGTACGTGTGAGAAGAGAGTTCAGAGGAGAGAAGCCCTAGGAGATCGTCCAAGAAGAAGGAGGCGCCGCTCAACTCTTGTTCTTTCTTTTTCATTGTTTCCATTTCTATAAACTTGATTTTAAGAGTTTTCAAGGGAGAATCCGACTTTGTTCATCAATAGAGAAGCTTTCTTCATCCCTTTATCTCTTTTAATACTTGCATAATGTTTACAATCATGCTTTGCTTGCTTGTTTGCATCATGGCCGAGTAGATCTCTTAGTTAGGCCGAGGAGATCTATGGTGGCCGTGATGATTTGATTGTGTTGCAACTTATTGGGATTTATCTTATGGATCTTCACCTTTACTTGAGCTTAATGCATGATTACTCTACCGTACATCTAGTAATCTGATCTTAGAGAAATAGAACCACGACAGTGCTGAATCTAGATCTCAAAACTAGTATTTGGTGAGCAATAGATCATAGCCAACGAAAGCTGAGTTATGGTTTATTGTGAACAATTGAATCTTGAACCTTTAATGCATGTTTGCAATTCTAATAGCCAACGAAAGCTGAGTATATTAGGTTGTTTTAAACATAGTGGTTGGAGCCACGACAGTGGAAACCATACACTAGTGATTCATGTTCAAGACGGCTCTACACACATCCCATGCAACTATCTTTTCATCATTGCTCCATATGATTGTCCTTTGCCTAACTCTTGTTTTAAATTGTTTACAAACTCATTCACATTTCTTTTGTTTTTATCAAGGTTTTCACTATGTTTTTAATACAAATAATGTGGTTTTTATGCCCAAGAGGTAGTTTTCTTGTATATTCTGGTTTTGAGCATCATTCAGGTCAAAATAGCAAAGAAGAGTCAAAAATGGAGCAAAAAGAGTCAAATCACCAAGTTCCCAAGTCTAGAGCACCAAATCTACATTTCTCGCTAAAGACCAAACCGGAGCATCCGAAGTACGACCGCATATTCATGCCTTCCCGACGTCCAAAAGTCATGTTTCTTATATGGAAAGATAGATATTTGAGTCATGACCCGCGGCGAAGTGGAAAGAGGTCATTTGGATCACTCGTTGGACCGGAACTTATTTTCTACCAAGACATGTCCGACGAGCGCCTAAGTAGAGCCCATGGAGACTTTGATGGATCAAGAGGCCCG